TAATAAACAAACCTCTTCTCATTTTCAATATTAATTTTTATTGACATAACTTCATATTTAAATTACACTGCAGAAGATATGCATGAGGATATATGCAAGCTTTGAAGGGAAGTACTTTGATAAGCGATACAGAATATGTTACTTAACTTAATTTTAAAATAGGAGATACAACTTTAATACAACAAAAAGTAGTGAAAAAGATTGCCCTTAAGGCGCTCAGCAAATGCCGATTTGATGAAAAGAAAGGCTACTAAGAAGCTCAACAAGGAACACGTTACATTATAAAACCACATCAAGACTAGATAAAAACAAGTAGATTGCAGCAGTTAACTTTAGTAGGTAAAAAGACATTCCATGACCAGTGCCCAGGAGACAGAGTTTTGCAACTTTCCTAGTTGATAATATTGTTTTTATGATGCCATGATACCCACTTGTACTGGATCCATATATATAAAATTCTTAAATCTATCAATCAAATTTAAAAGTCTGGCCCGAAATCCCACAGGCTCAATGTTAAATTTCCCCCTGTTTGTCAAGCCAGCTTATATTGAATTTCCACTCACATCCACCTATTTGTTTCACTAGTGAGGCTGTGTTTTATAGGGCTTTATACCACTTCCTGGTATCACTGAGAGGAGACAGCACAGCAAGGTCATAGATACAACCAACATGCCTCCCTACACACATCGCATTGCTGTGCTTTATCGAATTTCTGTGTGATCTCAGGAAATCTGATATATGCTAAACTTGTTTCGTTTCATCTACAGCGTTAGGACAAAGTGGACAGAAATTGTACACATATCAGAGTTTGATGAAATGCTCAATTTTCCATCATTTGAATTTTAAAGATTAGTATTTTATTTTAAAAAACACTTGTAAATAATTATTTTAGAATAATTTAGAAAATAACTTGTGAAATGTGGTTGGTTTTTAATCTGTAAAACAAAATCTCAAGGAGTCTAAGTCAGGGTTATGTACTGACTAACAGAACATGCAGAGGATATGAGAGAATCTTGTGAAGGCCTACATGCTGATGTCACAATAATGACTTCACTTATTCATTCTTGCATAGGCAGACATTTTATTATACTGAAAAGAAAATTTGTTGTTCTGTTTTGACATAGTAGAAGGACAGCTCTTCTATTGTTACCATGCAGTTTCGCTGCATAGAAGGGACATTTGCCATTGGATTGGATTGTTTGATTACCATTTGAAAATTTCTTTGGCTTTAATAAAAATAATCATGGAAATTTGTTTTTTAAGAATAAATCTATTGTATGGCTATCAACAAGGAACGGCTTTATGTAATGAATAATGTATTTCTCCTGGGTAAATGTGTTAGGTTCCCGTCACTGTGGCAAATACTTGAGATAAACCAATTTGAAGGAGGAGAACGTGACTTTGGCTCATGGATTTGGCGGCTTCCGTCCGTGATCAGCTGACAATGTCGTTTTGAGCCTTGGGCGCGTAAGCACGTCATGGAAGGGAGCATAAGGCAGAGGAAACCTACTCACTTCATGGCGCCCTAGAAGCACAGAGAAAGAGGGAAAAGGTGGAGTTCCGGTATCCCCTACCCGGGGTTTCCCTCCCTCCTGCAGACTCCATGTTCCTCCTTCCTAAAGATGCCTCTCCCTCACAGCAGTAGCACGGGCTGTCTACCTAGACTTTAGTACATGGGCCTTTGAGGAACATCAAATAGCCAAAGTAAATAAATTAGAAAGTGAACAATCAAGTGAATTGTGAACACAGTTATGTTTCAAATGAATAAAAGCTTATAAATAATGAAGAGTAAAGTGATTTAAAGATGTGGAAATCTCTTATTTTTTGCCAGCATTTTAGAAACTGTGTTTTGTGAGATGTCTGTCAGACACAGACAAACATCTCTGTCCATTTTCTGTATGGCTAAACCCCAAGTATGATTTATTCCATTAGTTCATGATTTCAACAAACAAGTTGGGAATGTTTTGTGTAGGAGACACAGACTGCAAACAGCGCACTATAAGAGGGTTTATAAGGTATACATCGTCACCAACTCATTTAAGCAGAAGATACTTGTTTACTTGTGTCAGGGACTGAACTGTGTTCTGAAGACAGAAGACCGACAAAGAAACAGTCTTTCTGGAGTTAACAGCTATTAAGGCTCGTGTCTAGATGCCCCCCAAGCCTCAGGCAGTCACAGGTGGGGCTTTTCAGAGGTGGCTGGATCTAGGGTGTGTGGTGCTGGGGTTGAGGGTGTGTGATTTCTAATTCAGCATGCTTCAGGCTGTGGGTAATGGGAAGGCTCGCCTTGGGTTTGAGTGACACCACCCAAAATGTGGTAGCCTGGAGGGGATAAAAGGGAGAGGCAGTTGCTGCTGTTTTTCCTTGTTGCTTGCTGACTCCTCCCTGCCATGGACCATTTCTCCTCTGCGATGCCCTTCCACCGTTCTGCACCGCCTTGGAGCCAGGTGACTATGGACTGAAATCTCTACCAACTGTGAGCAGAAATACACCTTTCCTCTTTAACTTGTGGGCTTGGGTCGTTTGTCTCAGCAAGGAGAAAACTAACCAATGCAATAGTCTAGGAAGCAATGACATAATTTCAGAGAGAAAGAAAAGATCCTCAATAAATCTATATTGCAACAGAGAATTAAGTTTGGATTATAGAATGGACCTAATGCATTAGTGGAGACATTTCCCCTGAGGGCCTGTCCAATTTCTGGAGATTGCTTGGTCCCCAGTCCCTGTGGTGGCATGGCAGTGGCAATGACAGAGGGTTTTCTGAGTGTATTCCTTCCTGACACTTTCTGAAAAGTCTTTTAGAATTTGAAACACACCTGGACCATTTTAAAGCTGCAGGGACAACTGAGATTTTCAGGGAAAAATGCAAAACTACTATTGAAACTTTTTCCTGGTTCTGTTCCATATTGCAGAGTGAGGTAAAGTACAATATTTTTGCATCATCCAGAAATCTACAATAATTTTCCTGAATTTTTGGATGTTCTAAGACCTTAAATTGTCCAAACTTATGCACACCTCCTGCTGTCCTCACCCCACTTACCCCCAATGGGTCTATAATATCTCACTTCCTTTTAATCCTCTTTCTTCTCCAGGCTAAGAGAATTCTAAATGGTCATAGATAGCCAATCAGAGGGATTTAGTCGTGGTTGCTATAAGTCTTTGTATAGTTTATACATGGAAAACTCATTTGACTAACATATGAAAAAAAGCATCTCAAAATAAAAGTAATCACAAAATAATTAAGAGAGTTTGTAGAAGAGCAGGTTTATCCTAGACAGGAGGATTTAAAGGCTATACTGGAAGATCCAGAGATGTCCATTTAAAACGTGGACCTAAAGGATCAATAAGATTTACAGTAATTGGATACACTGCATGTGTACGAGGATGTCTTAAAGTAGGAAGAAAGTCAATTATTTTGAGGAACTGAAAGAGCATAAAAGGGCAGGGGGGGAAAGTTTTAGAAGTGAGGCTGTTGAGGAAGGCAAGGACCATATTATTTTGCTCTCCAAAGATTTTGTTAAAGATTTTTAGTCTTTACCTTAAAAGCAATTGAAAATCATTAAAGGTTTTAATCACGGAGGAGATCTAAACATATGTCATTTTCCCAGTGATTCTTAAACAAGGAGAACAGATTGAAGGGGGTCCAAGAAGGATGCTTTTAACAGAAATCATTCAAGAAACCAGTTCCTTTCCCACACCAGCAAAGCCGTAATGCAGCTGTGAAGAGAGTGCCTCTGAATGTTTACCAGGTGCCAATCCCTAAGTAGCTTAATGTGTCATCCCACTAAATACTCACAAAATATTTAGCCTCAATTTAAAGGTGAGGAAAATGAGAGAGATTAAGGAATTCAAATCCACACAGCCTGCTGTCAGAGTTCACATGCTCAGCGAGTGCATTGTTTTTAGGTAAGAGAAAAATCACTCAATAAAGTACCTTGAATTCTCTCACCCTTGTAGTCAACAGCAGACATTTGTAAGGTGGCTATGAATAATTAACATAGATCCAAGGAAGTAATTTTTTCACATAAATATTAAAACAACTATAATGCAAACCTAATTACAACTAAGGGAAAATTAACATAATTTTCAGGAATGTTTTTGAAAGCTTTGCATTTACTAACTGATCTATTTAACAAGTTTTAATCTAGAGCAATAATCACATATTTTTGTAATATAGTCTTTTACTGTCTCATATTAAGTTCAAATTGCTAAATTTAAAGATACTACATATTTGCTTGATAAATCTTTTATCATGAAATTTTGATAAATCCTATGTACAATACCAAAAATTACTCATATTACATGTGTTTGTTAAATATTTATCTTTGAAAATAAAATCATACACTCCTCACAGAATTACCATACTTGCTCATGTTGTTCATTCTCTCCCATCTCATCCCATATAGGTTAAAGGTACAGTTTCCCTCAAAGTTAAACATGAAACCTAATATTTTGTGAGTAAAAAGATTCTCTGTCATAAATGCTTTGTATCATAAAATATTTAGAAATACAGAGAAGCACCATTTTACTCTTTGCACTGTAATCCATAAACACAGAAAGTGGAATCTCAGACCTGTTCTTGTTGAATGTCAACAATTGAAAAGTGTATTTAGCACAGCATTTGCTGTTTGGAAATTTTCTTCCCGTGAAGTCTATTTTTCAAATTAGGAGAGGTAGATGTATTTGCCTTTTAAAATGCAGACTTCTTCCCTTCTCATTTTGGGATAGGTGATGCTATGAATTTAAATTTAACCAGGAAAAACTTTGCAGAAAGAAAAAAGGCTAACATACTCGTTGACAGAAAGTAATAGAGTATAGCAAAAATCCTATACTGAGGGAAGAATCTTATAATTAATTTAATTTTTCTAGTAGCAATCAAACTTCATAGCAAAGTAGGACAAAATCTAGATTTACTAATTCAGTTTTCATACAAACACACACCTAAATCAAATCATCTCTTTATAAAAATAAAATGGGTAGAAAAGATATAGTATATAACATACACAACTAAGAAATGGACTTTATTTTATGCTCTCCAGTGACATTCCCCAGTAGAAACAACTGCAATAAATTTTGAAGTTGTACCTGGTTTTATGTTTTAGAACATATATCCAATATTTGTATTTTTAATTGACATGAAATGATTTCAAAATGCTTTAAATGTTCTATGCTTTGCTTGTTAACTTAACATATTGGTCTTTTAATCAAATATATTTTGATATGCACAGTTCTGGCTTATAAAATTGCCTATATGTAATAATCTATAATTAGATATGTTAATAGATAGTCTCCCATTTCTTTTCCACTAGATTTGAATTATTACATTTTGGACAATTCTATTATAAATGTTTTGGGATGTAAATGATAAAATTCTTTGTAACATTTCTTTATGGCCCATGGTGTATACCTACTTCTAACAGTAGATAATAAATTGTTTTCTAGAGTACTTTAACAATACACCAGTTTTTTGCTTATTTTTCAATATCTCACTTTTCTCTTGAGATCACATGGTCCAGTTTTATGTATTAGGTTACCTGTCTATATCTATAAATTATTAAAAAAGTGATGACTACCCTTAACAATGCAGTAGAGGATCACACATTTATTTATCTCTATCTTCATTCCTTCACAAGGTTATATCATGTTGTCTAGTGGTTTTGAGGATAATTAATAGTCTAATGATGCTCAATTTATATCTCAATTTCAGACTTCCACATCCAGTCCATTCTTGGTAGACAATTCCCTAGCAGAATCTCAACATGAATATCTGATAGCCACGCCGAACTCAACTTGTCCAAAGCCAGGTTCCAGAATTTTTCTTCCCAAATCTTCTCCTCCAGGTCTTGGCCATCATACGCAATGATAGCTTCATCCTTCTCCTCTTGTTTCCTGCCATCTGGGATGGTCCTTGTTCTTTTGTATTCTACCTTGAATTGATCATCAAGTCCTGTTGCCTGTATTGTAAAGACACAATACATTTAATACACGCTTCTCTGCTTGACCCTCCACACTCTGAGCATGGAAATGCAATACATTTGACTGCGTCCTCAGGCTTACCCCAGTGTCTTCCATGTAAGAATCAGCAGCAGCAAGTATTTCTGGATACAGCAATAAACATATATCTTAATGAAACTTATAGTTTTACCATATATTATAAACCATCTTTGAGTTTAAAAATATAGTAAATAAAAATGATCTATTTAAAAATTTTAAGTTAAATTGAAATTGAATTTCTGAAGCCATTTCTTCCCATTTTGAAAAGAATTTTATTACTTTGTATTTAGAGCACATAATGCTATGTGCGGCAGGTAGAGTTGGTGTGTGTACGCAACGCACCCTCATTCTGTTTCTTCCCTTCCCTCCACTCCCACACCCTTTCGTTTCTTGCTGTCCTTCCCATCTGAGAAAGATTTATCTCTCTACATCCTAATATCTGTCTTTTATTTTTCTCTTTACTTATAATTTGGGTTTATTATATAAGAAAAACCATATGATATTTAACTGTATGCTTCCGATTTATTTCACTTAGCATTATGCTCCTCAAGTTCATCCATTTCCTACAAATGAGTCAAGTGTATCTGTCTTTTTTTTTTTTTTTTGGTTTTTCTCCGGTACCGGGAACCGAACTCACGACCTTGCGCTTGCCAGGCAGGCACTTTGCCGCTGAGCTAAATCCCCAGCCCCGTGTATCTGTCTTTTTGGCGGAATAATACTCCACTGTGTGTGAGTGCAGTTCATCTGCTGAGGGACGTATAAGCTGTTTCCAAGATTTATCTATTATGAATCGTGCTGCTGTAGACACGGTATGTATGCATTTCCTATGAAGCGTATTTTTCAGCAATACCATTTACTCTGAAAAGTATCAGGAGGTTTGATATTTTTAAATCATTCATACATTGTTGCTAAAATGGAGAGACCGTAACCTGCCCATTTGATTATAATGTTTTGCATTCTAAACTGTATATTTAACTATATAGACATTGAAATTTTTTCAAAATCCTAGTTGACAGTATTAAGTGATAGCAAATGTGTCTGTGATCTTCTAGACAAAGGAAATCTCTCATGATATAAATAAGGCTTGCACTGCAGTTTCTTTGCTTTCTGAAAAATAATGCTTATCCAAAAGTATTGTACTTTAACTTTACATGATACAAATTTAACCATACCAGCAGGTTTTCTCTAGCTAGCATTATTGCCAATGGAGGGGGGGAATTTATATATATATTTCAAGCCTTTGCCTGCATCAAGTAAATTCAGAACAGATTACAAGGAAGTAGAAACAAGGTGAATTTATTTGAAAATGAAATAACCTAAATTACCTGCTGTGAAACAATCATTAGAGAATGGTAAACTCTATTCTTTGGTTCAGTTTTGCTCAGAGTATCTAACTCATTATAAAGTTTTTCTTTAATTTAATAGCATTTAGTAGTCCCCATCATCTCTTGCCTTTAAAAATAAGTGAACCACAAACTTTTGATTATGATCTCATAGCCATCAAAAATATGGAAAATATAATCTCAATTTAAAATTAACTCTTTCTCTTTAGGTTGAAAAAAATGCTTTGAATTGCATACCTTCTCTTAACCACAGGTGATATTTCATAAGTTTAAAGTACATTTTTTAAAAGGGTACTTTCAAATAATTTTCTATGCCTTCATTCAGCAGGTAACCCAAACCTTCATAATCCCCAAATGCTGCACTTCAAAGTTATGCTAGGAAAAAAATATTGAAAAGAGCAGCCTCTCTTTCCAGTTGATTTAAAACATCACTAGCTTATTTTCAGTACACATATGGAGTTACTTTTAAAAAGAAATCTTGGAATATTGCCAGACTACATCCAGGAAAGGTTTTCCTCCAGAGAGAGCTAAAATTCATTATCTGAGCTTTGGGACAACCATGTTTCTTCAAAATTTGGACACATCTTTGTTCCTCCACGATTAGTGATAGGAGTTTTACTTAAAATAAGGCACTACGCAGTGTGTAATAGAGTCTGAAGAAACAAAATGATTGTATTGTTTTGAACTGAAATTGATTGGCAATCATTTAAGTATTGGCTTGCATGATAGTTTCAGAATGCACAATGGAGAATTATTTTATACTGAAGTGACCAAAACACATAACTCATTAGATGTTTGTAAGTAATGTTAGATTAAAGTTAAATTTTGAACGTTTGTACTTATTAAATGGTTGGACTCTCTCACTTCATTTTCTCTGAATATTCTTTTTCCAGGAGAAAAATTACTTCGTATCTGAGGGCAATATACTCATTTTATTATTGTTATTAGTAACCATTTCAAAGATTTATACCTATTTTTGATGTATAAAATGAGCCTAACAAAGGTAGCAACAGAATTACAAATTAAGGGAAGAATATCAATATCAACACATTAATTTTAGTAATAATCAATAATATTCCATTGTAAAACATCACAGAGTGGCAATTATTTTCTAGATTACTTATATGTTTTTCCAAGGGATAGAACAGTTTTTTTCAATATTGAAAATGAAACCCTCATAATTGAAAATGAAGACCCTATGAATATAAAACAAAATTAATATATATTAATATAAAATGAGTTTATAGACTACGCTTTCTCTGAGAAACACAATGCTAAAATGTGCAGTGTGTTTGTAAAATTGAATAGGCTCCAAGAACATCATTTTAAAAATATCAATTTTATACATAACAATATTTTGTTGTTGTGGAATACAGAAGCTAAAGGTCTTTATGATCCTTGTTTTTCATTAGTCAGAAAAATATGTAAAACAAAGTGCTTAAAATAAGGAAGAGGAGGTCTGACAGGTCGGAGACAATTTTACACCCCATAGAAGCAGTGCCTATCATGGGAGTTTCTGACCATTTTGATTTTGTCCACAAAGAAGGCCTGGACTCTCCGTGTTGCCTGATTTGATAAAATCAGGAATTATGAACATAAGGATACATTATTTCAAATGAAACTGAAGCGTTAGCTTTCCTTTTAAAAAGGAATGGTAGAGCTGGGCAGGATTACCTCTGTAAAATGAATTAACGCACTGTGAACTGCAATATATCAGCGATAAGTCTAGCATGCTTCAGAACTGCAGCTATTGGAGAAATGAGTCGGAATCACTTGAGCATCACAAATCCTAGCCCATATTTTTATTCCCAGCCTTACCTTTGTGGTGCTTCCAAGTACGAAGCTCCAGTTGATTTCAAAGGCAGTGGATGAGATAAAGAGGAGTAAGGATTGTTCTACCTCAGCAATTTATGATCCCTCTAAGGCCACTGATTTTGAAAGAATATGGAGACCCTCACATCTTAGCAGAATAGATCCAGCTACTCTTTTCTGCCGGGTTCCCAGGAGGTAGCACAAGCATTTATCCAGTTTACCATAGCAAATGATTCTCCATGTCCAGAAAATTACAACAGTCTTCCTCTCTTCACTCTAAGGAGTCATAAAAGCTGAATTAAACATAACTGTCTAAAGAGTTATTTTCAGCAATGTTAGTATTTTAGCAGGGGAAATCAAGGGAACAATGTGATTTGAATACATTTATAATGTTAAACAAAATAGTATTTGGTAATATTGAAATGCCATCTTAAACTTATTAATTTTATATTTATTTTTAAAAATATTTAAATGTTGTGTTTGCTTCAGCAGCACATATACTAACATATTTTAATATTCAATTTTAAAGCTGTGCCATTTAAAAACTATGTTAAAGGTATAGTGTAAGCCTATGTGCTATATTACTTAAACGTGTGTGATTCTCAGAACTGTCAGTTTTCTAAACAATATTTTTCTATGTCCTTTCTTCATAATACATTTTTCCTTTGAAGAATTCACTTCCGTGGAAATTGAGTATGGATTTACATTCATTTGTAATTCTCCAGTGATTATAATACACTAGCAATATATTTGGTATCTGAAATATCTTAAACTAACCAATATAACTGTGCTAAGATTTGTCAAATGAATAAATTGATATAGTTTTATCAACCATATCAAATTGAACTATCACTTCCTTTAAAATCAGTGATGGGAAAGTTATTAAAAGGAATAAGTTGAATTAGCAAATTGTGGATGTATGTAAAAATACTTAACATTTATTGAAAGATAGCATTATTAAGTGACTATACTGTTATTGCACATATCATTTCATTTACTTATTGCAACAACTTTGTGGGATGTGTTGGTTTTGGGGATATTCTGCAAGGTGAAACAATACAATGCAGGACACAGAGTTTGTAAGATTATTTATGAGTCACCCAAAGAGCTATATACAAAAGAGTGCAGGAAATCTGTCCACACACCAAAACCAAGAAACTAGCGGAGGGTCTGGATCCCACAGAGATGTCCTGCATGAGTCCAGCTGAAGGCCTAGAGCCCATAACAATGCCCCCCATGAGTCCAACTGGAGGCCCAGAGCCCATAACAGTATCTCATGAAAGCCTGTTTCACATGTCTGTGCTGCAAAGGCCCAAACGTCAGTGGTGGAATCTAGGAAGTCTGTGCTAGCAGGCTGAGGGATCTGCACTGGAGCTGGGAAGCAACGCTCAGAAGAACCAGAGCTCCCCCGAAATGTACCACAGCCATGCTCAGCAACAGTAAGGTGCTGAGCTCCACCAATGACCAAGATGGCCGAGTTCCCATCAGGGAAGCCAATGCAGCAAGCTTCTCTAGGAGACTGACAGTGCACCATCTTCCCCTCTGGAGCCAGGAAGCAATGCTCAAAGTGAGGACCAAAGCTCCCTCAAAGTGAACCAAAACCATTCTCAGTGCCAACAAGGTCCTGAGCTCCTCATAGGATGAAAACAGGCGAGTTCATCAGAAAAGCCAGCATGAGGAGCTCCTCCAAAACAACCAACTGCTCCTTACAGCTTCCACCAGCTCCCAACAACCTCTTTAATTCCCTAAAGCCTTTCTTCTTTTCCAGGTCTGCTTCTTATGCTGCTGGCAACAACCCTCAGCTGGGCCTCCGACACCCAGCACCACACTTACTCAGTTCAGCTGGGGGTTATAAGTTGACTGCTAGTTGTCAATCCACAACATGAGATAAGCATCATTCTTGCCCTAATTTACAGGTACTGAAAGAGAGAGTTAGAGCTTAGTAAATTTCTGAAGATGCACAGTTGCAGTTGGACACAGACAGACCTATCAAAATTAAAAGTTTTATACTATTGAGTGTGTTTTATAAAATATTTTTGAGTGAGAAAGTAGTTAAGTTATGACTGCTAGGTAAAGAGGGTACAGCTATTCAATAAGTGTTCATTTAATTCTATTATAAATGTATCTTATGCTGAAATTTTTGAGTTCTTATTTTACATCATCCAGGTACTGAATGCTGACAAAGATAACCAAGCCACGATTACAATCCTAGGAGAGATAATCCTCTAGAGCACAGAGGGGCAAGCATTCTATAAAGGGCGTAATGGTATATTTTCAGCTTTGTGGACCATACAGTATCTGAAAAGGAAATGTTTTGCTTTTTAGCAATACATTTGCCAGAGAATATAAAAAAAGGAATGAGCACAGCTTTACTCCAATAAATATTTATTTACGGATTTGAGAATTTGTATTTCATATTTCCAGGTATCAGGAAATATCAGTCCTTCTCTGATTTTTTTAGCAAGTTAAAAATGTCAAAATCCTTGGCTCCCAGGAATAGCAAGACAGGCATCAGGCCTCCGTATCAGGTTTGGCAATGTCTGCCCTAGAATTGCTGTTGCTGAGCACACAGATTTAGCCAGTTCAAATTTAAGTGTATTCTGAGCATTAACTATAGAAATATATTGAAGAATTTGTGTAACAATGTTAACGTTTCATTTAAATTTTCCTATTTTCTTTATTTTGAAATAATTAGCTTTTGATACATTGGCTTAAATATTGTATCAAAATTAGGTTCAGTGTTTTTCAATTTTAGTCTTAGCATCTGTCTTAGAACATTTAAAATTACCACGTAGATGTATATGTCTACAGATACATGCAAAGTATATCGACACTCTGAAATGTTTTTAAAAGGTGACAACAGCTGGAGACAAAAAGGCATCTAGTATTTATTCGCAACACTCTTGATTTATTAAAAGATTAAGTAGAATAAAAAATGTCATGAGATTAACATTTTTAAATGTTGATCAAGGTTTAAAAGAGAACTAATACATTTAAGACAGATATATAGCTGATCAGAATATGTCTGGGAAATTAGAAATTTTTGACTCTTGGTAGAAAATAAAATATAGTAGGAAAATTGTCAAAAGTGATGTTTTACAGGTCAGCTAAGGTCAGAACACGAGGGACTGGGCCGGCCATTCTGAGCATGTTAAACTTTATCCAAAAGATGAAGTCACTGACACGTTTGTCCGAGGCAATGATGATTGCTGTAAAATCTTCAGGACACGTGACAGGTGAAATGAGCGGTGGAAACGAGGAATCAGAGGTGTGTCTGAGTCTCTAGCCTGTGTCGTGGGCCAGTGGAGTGCCACTTCTGATCTGTGTTGTTTTGCAGATTCCAGCCTCGCACTGAGAAGCAAGGCAGTCCTTCAGATGCCCAGCATGCTAACGACCACGGTGAACCCCTCTGCCCCCGACCCTGTGAGCCTATCTAGTATGTATGCGTATATTTCTGTATACTATCCCCATTTACCTTAAGAATGAATATTTTCTGTACCGAAAATGAGTGTCTGCTTTGATGTGAAGGCATTTATGACTATTAGACATTCACATGTTATGATTAAAATTGAAATTATGAACCATTTATTATTCTTCCATGAACAAGGCTGCCACCATATTTATTCTGAGGGATTCTAACTAGCTAGAAAATAGAATTTTTTCCAGTGACTACTCTACTTTGTGAATTAAATAAATCTGTGATGATTAGGTGCTTCTAAGGGTACTATTTTCTATTTATGGAATGGTTAACACATATGAAACTGTATCTCATTATGGTAGGCAAGTCAGAGATCTCAGAACTGTGAATCCAGTAAACATCTCTTATGGCATGTCATACAAAGTAATCAGCCACCACTAGAAGATTTCACAGTGTGTTAACTATTTTATTCTCATATTATAATTTTGTTTTATTTTTTCCATAAAATTTTTAAAAATGATGTTTCTTAGCTGGGTGTGTTGGCACATACCTATAATACCAACACCTTGGGAGGCTGATGCAGGAGGATTACAATTTTGAGCTCAGTTTGGCCAACTTAGTGGCCAAAATTAAACCACTCTGCCAAATTAAAAAAAAAAAATCGAGTTAAGAATGTAGCTCAGTGTGAGAGCCCTGAGTTCAAAGTCCGGCTCCCCCAGAAAATGTTTCGCTCTCTCTGTTAGTGACCTGATCACATCTATATACTACAAAGTAAAGAAAACCAGTCATTTGCTCACATACTGACTATAAATACTTTACCCCTGTTGCTCAACTGCTTCCTTCCTATTTTTCCTGCAAACGCTTGCCTACTTTCTAGCTGTTCTCAGTGCCTTAGTTACCTCCATTTCGGGTCTGATGCATGGGGTTATCATCTGTTTAAGGCATAGTTCTCTGTGACAGGATGTGCAGAACTCTGCTCGACAGCCCTTCACGGCAGGCACACACACGCGGGGGTTGGATAGGAAAGGAAGGAGATCCACCTTCTGAGCTGGCTGAATACACTTCAAAGATTGCAGTTTGTTCTGTTTTCTGTTCTGTGACATGTAAATAAGATTTTCTTTGATGAAATAATTCCTTTTCAGGGAAAGAAATTGCTCTAAGGAAGGAACAACTGGGATGAGGGAAAGAAGAAAAACGGAAGAAGGAAAGCAAAATATATATACATATATATGTATATAGAAGAATAGCTGGGATGACTGTACTGATGATGTCTGCTGGTGTATTGAAAGGAACAGTTAATGCTCAAAATTTTTTGTATTTTGACCAATTTTGCATGCTTATATCTGATAATCTGAGCAACTGAGTCAAAGACAACAATATACAACGCAACAACCATTGGTGAACTCCCACCATCTTGTCTAGTGAAACTCTGTATTGCCTCTAATGTTTTATTTAATAATTATTTTTAATTCTTTTTAATGGTTTGAGCAATCTTCCATTCTCACATCTGGTAATCTGAGCAACATAGTTGAAGATAACAATGTGTAATATCACAACCACTATTAATTCCTATCATTTTGTTCTACAACCCTGTATCACTTTTAATGTTCTGGCTTTATTTTGTTTATGTCTTTGATGTTGGTATGTTGCTATTGTTCTTTTTTTTTATTACTTTCTTTAAATAAAAAAATTTAAAATGATTCCATTTCCTAGAAACGTGGCCAAGTCCTCGTATTTGTCTGACTTCAAAATGTTTACCCACCTCATTTTCCTTGCTTTCCCTATCTCCTACAATAAAATTATAATAGATGGCAAGCAGTAGACTTGAAGGGCATCATTTACTAAGGTTTGTTCACGGGTTTTGTCAATCTGGGACTGCGGGACAGCTAAGGGAAGAAGACAGCTACAGTGGACAGTAAGAGCGGCGCAGACGCACTGCTGGACAGAAGTGAATACTGAGGCTAGTCCCACTCCCAACTTGAAAGGACTCGGCACTCCCATATTCTTTGCCTTAAGGCCTTGGGGACTGACAGGACCATCCCGAGAAGCAGGAGCCTTAGAATACACAGAGAGACGCGTGACATCACAGTGCGGGTCGGCTCACCCGGCTGCGGAGGACACAGCCCCGCGGTATCCGGACTCTGGGAGCCGAGAGAGTCAGCGCTGTAACGCACTGTGAACCCCCAGCACCGAGGACCGGGAGCTACGTCCGAAGGCAAAGAAAGATGGAAGGTGAGCTAGAGGAAAGTAAAGCCGAATTCACCCTTCCTCACCGAGTTCAAAGGTTTGAAAAGTGTCCGCCCCAAATCGTAAGAAAGGAGCTAATTTTCTCAGCACACAGCTGCGTGCAAACTCACACCACAGTTGGGTATCCGAAGTGGTTCCGTTCTTCAAGAAACCCACAGCCCAAGGGCAGAGCAAAGCAGAGGCGCAGAAGGGGACAGCATGGACTGCTCTAACCTTTTTTGCTTATTTTCTACAAAATGTGCAGTCCAAATTATCACAGAAACCAAATGTTTACTGTATTTGTTATGGTTTAGTTCAAAAATGGCCTTCAAAGCCTCATGCGCTTGGAAGGTGACTGAACTCGGGGTGACGGGTGACCTGGCGCTAAGAGATGGGGTCCCATCGAAGGGGCATCATGGAGGAGCGACCCTGACAGGCGGAGCTCTCTTCTCGGACCCTCCAGGCTGGGCTTCCCGGCGGCCACTCGCGGGCAGCTTTCCCCTGGGCCCGCCCTTCCGCTACGCAAGCTTGATCCACAGCAGCCAACCGTGCAAGGACTGAAGTTCCCAAAACGTGAGCAAAAATAAACCTGCTCTCTTTGAAATTGTTGGTGTCAGGAATTTTATCCTAGCAATGATCAAAACAATATTCCACTTCATTTCATGGTAGCTGTTCTCGCCGGAATGATATCTTTCCTCCTCTCCAAACTAGCTGTGTAAAAGAAAAAAGTGAGGTCAGTTTTCCACAGAAGTGTGAGAAAGGAAAAAAAAAAAAAAAAAAAAACCACAAATTTTAAGGCATTTCAAACATAGCTGAAAAATACTCACTAGTTAACCCATTTCTTGAAATGGATGTTCGACGTTAAACCCTAGTAGAGTAAGATTTTCTTAAAAAGCAATTGTAACAGCAGTTATAACAATGGCATATCTTGGCAGGAGCCCGTAGGTGAGCAAACTGCTCAGCTCACCTAAGAGAAGAGGAAGGTGTGAGGCTCCCGACCCCGCTTCAGGGACTGGCCCCTGTGACCGGAAGCTCCCCACTGGGCCCCCACGTGTCAAAGGCTCCAACAGCCTCGAATAGAATCCAGGCCAGGGATTTAGCCTTTACCATTAGAGCTCTTGGGGAGAGGGACCTTAAACATCCAAAGTGTAGTTTGGTGAGCAGTTTTTTTTTTGTTTTTTTTTTTTCTTTTTTTTTTTGGTTTTTCTCCGGTACCGGGAACCGAACTCACGACCTTGCGCTTGCCAGGCAGGCCCTTAGCTGCTGAGCTAAATCCCCAGCCCCCAAGGTGAGCAGTTTTTGTCTAGTAGATTATTTTTAAAAATTTTGGTCTTTTTTTTTCCAATTAAAAATATATACACCCTACATACCAGAAGTGTGTTGCTGAAGATACTCTATGTCACACTAGTAGCAGGCAATTTTTTAAAAACTGGACTGTCACGGGAGTATAAATGATGTGTTTGGAAGTACTGACATATTATCAAAGTTACTGTCCTTTAATTTAATTAATCAAATATAGATGGAGACTCAGTATGTACCATGAGTAACTCTACTTGCAAGATACCAAGTGGTAGGGGAAAAAAGTGAGGTCAGTTTTGCACAGAAAAGTGGTGGTGGGGAAAAATGACAGAGTGATCTGCCCTTAAGGAATTAATATTCCCGTGAAGAACCAAGACACTTTTGGAGAAAATGTTAGGATAAGGACACTGGAGAGCATACTTGCACATTTTATGAGAAAATTTTCTATTAATGTCATTTTGAGTGTTCTTGGGATGTCAGAAATAATGACTTTTAAGTGTGAATCAACTTTTTATCAAGGCTGTGAAAGAAAGACCTTGAATATAAGTATCTATGCCTATGTGTACTTAGCCTACTCAAAGTGAAATCACTGGGAAATTTTAAGAGTAATTTAAAGTACCCGAGAATCGGCTCTTCATACGCACGGTATTACAAGTTGATATACTGCTGTGCTGGCCGACACTTCAGTAATAGAATTTCTTTGACTTTTCTTTGAGAAAAAGAAACCTTTTTTTTTTTTCTAGACACTTCATGTAGCACGTTAATTCAGCATTAATTATAGAACATGTCAAACTATATTTCAGTCAAAGCTCCATGTAAGTCTCTGGAGCTTTCTTAATGACAGTAATTATAGGTCATAAAAAGAGTCGTCTAAAATTAACATTTCTCTCATGTCTTGATAGGAAAATGTAAATGGCTGCGCAGTACAGATGTTTTGATTAGTAAAATTTACACTTCCCTTTTGTTTCAATGCTTGTCAAACTTTAGAGTATTAAATGTAAGGTGCAGAATGTCTCATCTCCTAGGGTAGATAAAGGTGTATCAAAAGTGGGTTAGAAGTTCTGAAAATTCTTTACCATTTTGTTTTGCTCTGCAATGAAATAAAAATAAACCAGCAGTTTCTTTCTTAATAAATACAAGAATTATGTGAAAGGATAAATGTTAGACATTTTTAGCATTGTAAAAAATTCCACAAAAATGTTTAAAAAATGATGTTTGATGTGAGTTTATGAAAATGATTTATTAGAATGTAGAAAAACACTATGCCACCTCATGCCTTGATCTAAATCTCCTGACAAACCATGTTTTACCGTATACAATCAGAAAAAGCACATAAAACCTGCTCTATTCTGCACTGTCAAAATTTACTTACTAGAAAATGAGAATGGAAACATTCTGGTTAAAACAATGTTAATATCATCAAACATCCAGGGAAATATAACAAATTAAAAGAGAATCACTTCAAAGAATAAAAGGCCTACACCTTAAGTAATAATAAATCTAATACTTGACATTCATCTCCCTGGAAAATAAAATTAGATAAACTTTTGCAAGGGCATTGAGAACAGCCAATCCACTTTATTAATAATTTCCTGTTTTCATATTGGAAGCTCATATTATCTGGCCCCAGCCACAGTAGACCTCCACAGATATTTAATAAAGCTGCCGCCGGTAATCCTCTCTGATTACCTATAACCTTCCAGCTATAGCACACCCTGTGCTGAGGATCCACAGAAGGACAGCACACTGTCACCTGCTATGATGTTTGACAGCTTATTCTGCTACATCAAGCCGGTACAAAATTACTTTTTCCAAATCCATCCTAGTTAATAACCAAAAGCAATAATGGTATTCAGCATGCGTAATACTCGGAGAAGCAAAATGAAGCAACAGAGGGGGAAAAAAAAAGATTAAATAGTGACTGTTATGGAAGGCAGATCAAAAACGGAGTCTTGTAACACACAACAATGTTTCAATTATAACGCCATGCTAAGATGTCACGTATCACTACAAAACCCAGGCTGCAGGGCCCAGAAACTTGGACGCGATTTCCTGTTGTATTTACAGTTGATGCCTAATTGTTCTGGCTCATACAGGGCAACATTTGATCGTATTTTTCTGAATCATTCTTCGACATTCTCTTGGGGTACTAGCGATGATTTACCTTTAGTAGAAGTGTCCAGTTAATGGAAATACATAGTCTTGGGCTCATCTTATATTTTGCAAGAGTAATAAGGTACTTGCGTATGAAAGATCACACTAAACTTCATCCAAATTTACAAGTACATCCAATTTAATAGACTTTTTCAAAAGATGAAACACCAAATTAAAAGTGATTCACACTTAAAAGTCATTCACACTTAAAAGTCTTTACTATGATCTACAAGGAAATGTATTATTGGACACCTTCCCTCCCAGCTTTCCCTCGTCCCTATGCTGGGTGTCCTCACCCTGTGCTGCTCACTACGGTTTGGATACTGCCTTCTTTCTTGCTTCCTGGGCTTTCTCATTGGCTGTCACCTACTCCTGGGAAATGTCCACACTCTTCTCATTTGATTTGCTACTACTGATCTTCAGGATTCAGTTTACCTTTTCCGTGGGGAGATTTTTTCTCTAAGCACCCAGTCAAGTGCTCTTCTCTCCAATATCTGCTTGCATAGAATTCTGAGCTTTCACTTCACTGCAGTAGCAAGACCCTAGAGAAATATTTGTGCCTATCGAAGATGCTATGATCGATGAAGGCAGGGAGAAGTGTTGGTTTTTTCTGTGTCCGAATTTCCTGCTCCATTGCTTAGCACCCAGTAGCTTTTCAATAAAGATATTTTTAACAGTTTTGCTGAATATAAACATTTTCTTTCAGCGAACAGGTTAATGGTTGGATAGCTCTAAAACAAGCTAGTTATTGTGCAAGAATGCTTTTTTATCACATCTCCTTCAGGTATGTAAGTGATTAATTAAGCAAATCTTCTCATGAGAAACCATTAGAAATCAGAAGAAACAGACAAAAGAAATGGGCAGAAAACTAAGCCAGGAGGTAATTTCAGGCAAATCTCTCTTTCAGAAGCTCTCTTTAGCCTGAGCTTGAAAAGATCTATGAAGTGCAAAGCTTGCATATGTACTGTTCTTGAGGTAAGCAAGCTCGAGTTGAGTGCTGTAAACCCAGGAACTTCCAACTCTCTGTGAATAGAAGGCAAGGAACTCCCTTAGAAGATGAGCAGTTCCTCCAAGAAGAGAACACTGGAGGCTACGAGCCAGAGAAATGGCAAAAGACAAACAAGGCAGAGCATCATCTGCAGCTGCCATTGTAGATCAATGGTTAGGGTACTCGTAGGCACTGTTTTCTTAAAGATAAGTGAGGTGCTATTACCCTGGTGAATAAGTTAGCCACACACAAGTTCTAAAGAAGATATTTCTGGCAGGGAAAACAAAAACTGTGATGGACCTGCTCCAGAAAGAAGACTGGTGTCTTTAAGTAACAGACAGAGGCTGACTCAGTTGCTGCTCCGTGGACAAGGAGGGAGTGGAGAGAAAATCTACGAAGGCATACAGAGCTTCTCTTTACAGGCATTGAAACCAATCATACCCTGCGCTCGGTCTCTCCCCTTTGCATGTGCTTTGTCTATAGAAACTAGAGATTCTGCTCCCACAAATGTCGCTTTTATCATTTTCCATCATTCCATTCATTTCCTTTATTTGGAAAGTGTTTTAGTCACAAAGGTTGGAATGTTCTAACAAACAATGCCAAGGTTTCGGTGTTTAACACAATAAAGTCTGCTTCTCTTATAGAAACTCAACGTATTTGTCTTTGCGTAAGTGTTGAGGGCCTTTCTTCTTTGTGGGGACTCATGGATTTGACTCAGATCAAATTGTGGCTCTGACACCACTTAGGGACCTAAGAATAAAATGAATGAAAAGTATGTGAATTGACTGAACTGTAGAAAAGTGGAAATTCTTACAGTGAAATAAATGAGATACAGAAGGTTAAATATTACACGGTTTCTCTTACATGAGAAACCCAAAGTATAAACAATTTAATAGAGAAAAATGAAAGAACCATGATGGAAAGTAGCGAAACGGACTTTGTGAAGATGGAAGGAGATCTAGGGATGAGTGAGCTGGGATGGAGGGGAGGGGAAAGAAAAGTAACCAGGATCAGAATGTGGTACATAAGTGTCATAGGGCCCATGACAAATGTATCGATTACGTACCATAAAACTTTACTAATAAAGATTTTAAAAATCCTGTTCACAAGGAAGGAAGACAGGCAGGCAGGAAGGAGGGAAGGAAGGAAAGAAGGCAGGAAGGAAGCAAGGAAGGAGGGAAGGAAGTAAGGAAGGAAGGAATTTGAAACATAGAATTATAGTATTCAAAACTGAACATCTTAAAAACTATGACGATAATTGTGTAAACTTGGCAGAAAACAAAGAACTATACTTTTAATTTTCTGTGCCCCTCATACCAACCATGTGAGAGGGCACCACGCATTGTCAGTACTTATATTTTCTGCTAAAGAAACTTATGGTTAGAAAAGTTAAGCAATTTACCTCTGTTTAGACAGATATTAATTTGTTGAAGTCTGATTTTGAGATGGCCTGAATCAAGGACCTCTGATACTCTAAGTAAAGTGTTGTTTTATTTGTCAATTAATTTTTAGTATAGATCATATATCAGTGGAAAACACATAATACTCCTAATAATAGAACTACTTTAGTATGTAACTTCACTTTAAAGATTTTGAAAGTGTATTTGAATAGAATGGCTACTTAAACACGGTTATTTAACTTTGAATTTAGCAATTCATAAAATTTCAATATTTCAACATTAATTTTAAATTCTCAATATTTAGTAACTCAAACACCTCAGGCATCAGTTTCTATTACTATAAAGTCATTATGAAACATATGAACAAAGCAGTACCTAAATCTAAGACTTCTGGGTTTTTTTTCCCCCTTTTGTTGGTATGTGCGTGTTTGGGAGGGGGGACTGAGGGTTGAACCTGGTGCCTCCCACAGGCAAGGCAAGCACTCCTACCATTGAACTCCGTTTTCTCCAAGACGTATTTTCCTAAGAAATTTCATGAAATGAATAGGTACATCATAGTTCATTTCAACTTTTTCTAAATAAACGCATGTTTTTCTTTTGTGATTTCCCCATAGAAATACTAGTATTTCTGGCAAAATGTAAATGTAAAGATACATATTATCCCCAGAAAAATTATACTTTTCTCACCTTACGATGAAAATTTAGCTAACATATTTGAACAGTTAGATGTACTGCTTTGTTTAGTGCTACGGCAAGGAAAATGGAAAGCCTAAAATGTCTTTTCTACCAAATGTCTTTCAGAAAGAACATTTAGGTAGGTAAGATATTTTGATACAATTTCCATTATATTAAATTGACATGAAAATTTCTATTAAATGTACCACTCTCAGAAAGTATTATGCTCATTGTTTTGTAATATTTTTACTCAAGAGAACACATTCCTTTTGTAAAAGCAAAGACTTTCCTACTGAACTTACAGTGATATCTGAAGAACATGATTACAGTTCTATCACATATGTTAATTTTTTCTTTTAAGATGCATATAGTTGTAATAGCTCTTGTTAATATATGCTTTCTCCATAACGCATTTACGCAATTGGCTAGTAGTTTTTTCTTAGGCTTCGAATTTGTGATTTTAGAAAAGCAAATATTACAATTAGGAATGTAGGAGTAATCCCTCATCAAATTAGAATCAGCTGGCAAATTTGGACCTTAGCTAATTAACTGTGCTCTTAAGAATTTTGCTGAGAAATGAACTCAATTTAAAATTAAATTAATTAAATTAAGTATCTTCTCAAATCTGATCGCTTCAAAGCCATTAATTTAGTTGAACTGGTTCAATCCAGCCGAGTCTGGTTTTCTGACCTGATGGACTTTAGCTCCAAGCAGTGATGCGGTTAATGCAGACTGCAAGTGTTATGTACAAAAGCGCCAGATACCATTCCCTTGGCCTAATGGGGTTGCACGTAGTGCTGCTGCAGCTCAAGCATACACAAGAGTGAAAATCAAGGGGGCCATTTTGGGTAGGAACCCTGCTATTAAACTGACTTAGAGAAAAAATCTTCCCTTTCTCAGACTGAGAATTGTTCCCTTATAAGTCTTGACTTATTCTCGTAGCAGTATTACTCTGCTGTGTAGAATAGTGATCATCTTCGATCTGTACCTTTCTGTTTAGTCTCACAGTTCTCTGAACACACAATTTCTAATCTGGTGCTGGTCCTCCATATACATTTTAGTTTCGTCACTGTCAAAGAAAAAAGGAAAAGAAAAAGAAATGAAAAGAAAAGGGTCAGTGGAGGAGAAGTAAGATGTCAATTCCAGTTCTTTTCAGACACGCTTTTTGCTGTTATTTGAAGGATTTTATACTGAAGAAATTTACCGTATAACCTGTAGACAATCACGATTAATGATGTCTTCTCAAAGATTTATAAAACTGGATTTTGAGTGTTCTCCCCACTGGAATAGATGAATAATGCATGTGATAAACAGCTCAGTGTAGTTATTCTGTAATACAAACCTATCTGAAAACATTGTTTTACATATACAAACATCCAGCGTTGCCAAATAAAATCCAAATAAGTCAAAAATTTAAAACTACAAATAAAAACATTTGCATACAATGATAATGAAATATTTTTAATGTAAAATTTTGAAGGATTTAGATGACCCTAGTATAATAGTAGAAATTGTAAGTATTTATGTATAAGTAACTTCTGCATAAACAAATAACTTCAGGTAATAATAGTGGAAGAATGGTTAATTTGTTTACCCTTTGTACTGGCTTTTAAACACTGTTTTCCCAAAATATACTCTATTTATGTCAGGTATTCAGGTGTACTTTATAGCTATTTACAATGCTCTGATTAGTTCATAAAATTATATGTTCATTTAATTATACGATTGCTTTTCTGTGACATGAGTATCAATATTTAGAGAAGTATGTGCAGTTACATGAAGGACAAAACCGAAGAAAATTGGAACTATCATAGGATTTCCAGATATACACTGGGATGGAGTGGGATGGGATGGAGTGGATGGGATGGAATGGAATGGAATGAAATGGGATGAAATAGCTGGTGAAGAGAAAAGGAACTGTATTTATTTCCATTTTGTGGAAAGCCCTGCAGTGGCTGAGTGTAGATTTGAATAACATGTCCATAGGTACAATTGACAGGTCTCAACAATCTGCTATAGCCACCTACAAAACACGTAGGCCAGGGTTAGTTCACTGATGTTCTACTTTATCACATTTTCCATTCATCTTTTTATCTATGTTGCATATTATGTATAATGTTTCCTATTATGTACAATGCTCAATAATACTTTATAGGTTTTATATAACTTAATATGTTTGAGGCATGATCACAAAATCTGTAAGACAGGCCTAGGCAAAGGAAATGCTCTTGAAGACACCTATTTCATATACGCTGAGTAGCATGTTGTCAGGCAGTAGTAAGCAGAGAGTAACTGGCCCCATGGAACCAGTGGGAGCACGTTCTCCCCACAGCCCACAATTGAGTTTGACATAGAGGTGTGTGTCTGTAATCTCAGCACTGGGGAGACTGAGGAAGGAGGACTGTAAATCCAAGCTCAACTTGGGAAAGTTAGTGAGACCGTACCTCCGAATAAACCTTGTTCTAAAAAGCTGTAGATGTGATTCATGCAAAGGCCACAGGTTCAAGCACCAGTACCGGAAAACAAAAACAAAAACAAAACTACAGTGTGTGGATCACTTTGACTGTGTTATTTTATCAACTTTAATAATATCGTAAAAATTATGAGCATCATGTACACTTTTTCTTATTGAATTTTGGTGCTCCAACTAATATTATTAGTTAAAAGACACAGTTTCTTAGGCAACAAAAGTAATGCTTCATTTTCATGCTCATTTTGTCACTGACTGATATTAATTGCTTAAACATAATTAGGAGAACAATTAAAATTATGCAAAATTTCATACCTACATATGTAATATTACATTCACACATGCAATAATGCCATTTAAACACCCTGTACGGACTTGATGATACCAGATTTTTTAAATGAATTATATGGAAAATATTACAACTTAAAAATATCCTAAGTTTCTGATTACAGTGAATTTTAAGGTAGAATAAGAGAGACAAATAAAACATTTTCTAACATGCTTTTCAGCATGATTTCTCTTAAATTTTTGAAATAGATGCTGAGCTATCGTACTCATGTATATTTCATTTCTAAGTCTCAAAAGGGGGAAACTACAGAGTTGCAATATTTGGCTCATCACATGTTTTAGCATGCCGTGTCTATGTCTACTTGTAAAGGAGCGTGATTCTCCAAAATGTTTACTGCAGATATCGCTTTTCACATTCAATTTACCAAACTCAGGTTCCTCTAACATCAGCAGAAAACTAGCACACAGCGAAGGAACTGTGAGTGTCTTAGAATGTATTCTCCATTGCCCATTTCACACCAAATACGCAAAACAAAACAAACAAAATCATATGAACCAAACTTAAGAACCCATAATTTAGAGTCTGCTACCACAAGATGAGTTTATAGTTGCAAAATTAAGCCTGAGTACAGTTTCCACTGTCCATGGAGGACCCTTTCTGAGAAAATGGCCAGGCTCTGAGCAACAGCTTCTCTATAAATACTGAAATGGCTAAAAAACCCTCATGAGGGCCTCTTTGATTCCCCAGTTGTTAGCACCAAATTTTCACTTCAAAAGGTGTAGAAAAACATCTTTGAGTTTTTCACTTTAATAGAAAAATGAATCAAAAATTCCAAATAAGTATACCCATTTTAAACCCACTTTATCTTTCATATCGTGGTCTTAGGCCTTAAAAAAAGTCATCAGGATTTTGCCTCAGTGAAACATAATTGTACAGAAAATTCTTCCAGTGATTGTAATGAACCATATCAGTTTTTTTCTCCAAATTTCATTCTTACCATTAGAGTACAAAAACCTTGATCACAATGTATGTGGTGCTATTCTCACCTAAGCATTTCATAAACAAAAGTATCACCTGAGGAAAACAGATCATAATTTTCATTCTCTCAAGCTTCTTGTGCTTTGTTATGACTAAAATCTGTCAATACAAAATGGTTGGATCACATCCTGAGAGCACAAGTAGGTTAATGAGTTTGAAGTTGAGGATGTTGACACGAAGGTAAAAAATCCAGGGACAAACTATTAGACTCTAATTTTCTGAATTCCAAGATACACAGTTCATTTAAATTCTTAAGGGAAAACAAAAAAATGAAAAGTGCAACAGTAGTAAATATATATGACAAAAAGCCTCCAAAATATTAAAATCTGGGAAAAAGTGCATTTTGAACTGGGGAACTATGGCATGTCTATTTATGCAGGTCTTGTGATTTAGGCACACATGATATAAAATACTGTAGATTCTCACAGGTGAGTAAATGCCCCTTCGTTCTGGCGTGTGCTGCATATGTGGTGACTTTCTGTGAGTGTGCTGAAGTTGAACCCAGAGGTGTAAGCGCTAACTGGGCTGCCCCTGCTGAGTGAGGGTCCCGAGACAGTTTGCTTTTCTCCTCTCAGCTCCCGTCTCCAGTCTCCACTGACTGGGCTTCAAATCTCAGCTTTATTTTCAGATCATTAAAAGAATAGAGGTGAGAGGATTTGTGGCTGGATTTGCTTTTTTGAGGAAGTGAATTGATCTAATTTTTTGAGTCATTTGCCAGGCAAAGTCCTATTTCTGGCAATAAGTAAGCTCATAGTCAAGACACCCGGAGGGAGGTGAGGGGCTTGGCGGAGGCTGTCAGAAAACTGGAGCACAGGAGAGGGTATAACACAGAAGAGCGTGGCAAGAGGAGAGTCACACCACCCAGTACTCTAGGCTTACATCCGGAAGGACGGGTGAGCCGTTAGGAGCAGGGGCGAAGTCACCCCTTGTTAACTGCTACTCGTAAAAGAACGAAAGTGTGATGCTGAGGTAATGATCCTGATTGCCTGCAAGCAACTTAAAATGCATTTTTTCTCTGGTTATTAATGAAAATATAATGTTATGAACCTAATGATGAAATTTTCTATTGTACCTCCTAGAATGTACAAAAGTTACGTGTACAACTTGTTATATGATTTCAAACAAGTAAAGCAAAGAACCCAAGATCGTTGCTTTTAGGAGAGTGAGCGTAACATAGTCCTAGTGCCAGGCTTTGATTTTTAACCTCTGTAATATAGAATAGCTCCAAAATTTATAAACTGTGAACCTGCAGTGAGTTAACGAAGTCTCAGCTTCTCATCTGTAAGCAGAGAGTCGACCTACGCAGTAATGCTGTCGTGTAAACGATGCAATGAAGTTCAGTTAGCGCTCAGCTCACCCAGTGTCCGCGCGGTAGGAGCTAGGAGCGCTACCGGCGTTCCGGGACTCAGACCGGAACCCGAAAAACCTTCGGCACTCCTGAAAGGCCTCACCAGTCAGGTAATTTGTTCACAGATAACAACTTTCTCTCAAAACTATTTTATTTTCTGGCAAAAGTGCAGTAACTGGTGAATCCTATAATCACTCGTGACCCTCTAGCTTGTTTTGAGCCAACTATTTAGTGAGAACATTTAAAAAACTATGATAATTTATTTTAAAACATATATTTAAAAGTAATAGAAATCTGAGAAAGTAATGTTTGAGAACAATAGTTCAGAAGGAAGAAAACTACAGAGACTTGAGCCCATATCTAGCACTAGAAAATGCTCTCCAGAAAAGCACAAAGATAAAAACTGATGAAGAGGAAATTCATCAGTGAAAACTGAATCAGAACAAACAGCTATTAGACTGAGCACACAAAAACAATTTGTTATTACTGCATTTCATGTAAAACAAAAGATTAGTAGGGAGAATATCTATATACTACATATATTTATATATTGCATATCTCCCTACTAAACTCATGTATATACACACACAAGCATACACACACACACACACACACACACACACACACAGAGGGTCAAGTCCCTGGAAATAACTAAGTGTCTGAGATGAAAAATGCAAAATAAAATTTAATTGTAGGTGAGATGTTACAAAAGAAATATTTAATGACTTTGAACTTTAAGCAATGAAAACTACCTAAAATGAAATGCCAAGAGTAAAAGAATGGTAAATATAGGGCAGGTAGGTAGATAATTAAAACAAACTAGTACAAGTGAGCTGATTTACACAAAGGACTGACTCTGAGTGCATTTTAGGCATTCTGAAAAGAATGAAGGGGGAGGGCAGAAAAGTATTAAAATAAATAAATTTAAACATCTTTCAAATTTGATGAATTCTATAAACTCAAATATGAAACAAGACAGGTGAAGTCTAAGATAAAAAATTTTTACGTAAAAAAGATGGTATCACATTTTGTTTGTTGAAAACAATGTAAGCAAAAAGATAGTGAAGCAACCTCTTTAACATCTTTTAAGGATAAATGAAGTCCTTCAGGCAGAAGGAAAATTACAGCAAATGGAGATAAGGAATGAGGTGTACTTGAGTGATAGTTATGTAGGTAGAAATATGTGGTTGTATTCTTAATGTTTAAATGTCTGTATAATTAAATGCTGAAAGAAGAATAACAATTTTTCAGGTGATATATAAAACAATGTATGAAAAATATATAATAATAACATAAATTTGAATAGGAGAAATTAAGCAAAGTAATTATAAAGCTCTTATATGTGAACTGGTATTGTGACTTAAAGGTAGATTATGACAAATAGAGGAAACCACTAGAATAATTTCTACAAACAATGGAAACGAATGAAGATTACAAAAACAAGCCTTAAACATGTTGAACCAAATAAGAACAAACAAAATTTTAAACCAACAGGTAAAAAAAATGGAAGAAAGTAGTAACACGATAAATTTAAGCGTAGTTACATGAATAATCAAGATATATACATATGTTTAAATAAGTCAGTGAAAAGGCAGAGATAGACAGATTTGGAGAAATGTAAGGTCCTGTGGTGGTGGAACTACAGGGCACCTTGTAACACGCAGCTGAACTGAATCAGTGTGGCCCTGGGTGTGGAGGGCCCTCCTGAGGACAGTTGCCAACAGCATCAAAGGAGCACCGGAGGGGAGGACGGCGCCCAGCTGATTCTCCTGGAGAAGTTTGTCATGAAGAGCTCACCTGGGTCCTCGCTGTGGCTGCAGATGGCTGCATGCTTTCCTGCCAAGATCTGGCTTACTTTGAGCATCGCTTCCTGGCTCCAGTGCAGGTCCCTCGCCTGCTGCCTCAGATCCTTCAGCCTGCTGGTGCAGACTTTCTAGCTTCCACCACTGACCTTTGGGCCTTCCCCGGGTAGAGCCTTCGAACAGACTTGAATGAGATATTGTTGTGGGCTCTAGGGCTCCCGCTGGACTCCTTGGGGCATTGCTATGGGCTCCAGGTCTTCAGCTGGGCTCGTGCAGGGCACTGCCGTGAGATCCAGGTCTATGGCTGGATTCTTTGGGTCTCTAGTGTGTGCACAGATCTCTCATACCCTTTTGCATTTGAGTCTTTGAGTGAATATTATAAAATAATACAGCTAGGCATGGTGGCGCACGCCTGTAATCCTAGCACTTGGGAGGCTGAGGCAGGAGGATCGTTGTGAGTTCGAGGCCAGCCTGGGCTACAAAGTGAGCTCAAGGCCAGCCTGAACTGCATAGCGAGACACTGTATCAAAAAGACCAAAAAAAAAAAAAAATAATAATCCTATAAATTATATGTCCTGTAGTAAATCAGTTTCCTTGTAAGCCCTGAATATTTAAATATATAGATAAAGAATAGTAAAGATGTACCATACCTAGCACTGATTTTAGAAAAAATATATGAAGCTCTGGTTATACAAATGTAGATTATTACAATAAAGAATATTGCAGAAGTAAAGGCAGTTTATAGGGGTTAAATGGTCAGTTGATAAGGATGTAAGAACTCCAAGTATTTATACAACTGATTTCATATCTGCACAATAAATGAAGAAATTTAACTCAAGTTTTAAAAATTTAGGAAAGCTGATTTTTATAAACATGAGACAAATGTGTGTGTCAAACTCAAGTTCCATGTAGCTACCTCAGTAAAAAAAGGACAAAGAGCATCTTTACAGACAGCAAAGCGCATGAGAACTACATCTTTCAAAATAGAGAAAAACTGAGAGCTTTTTTCTCTAAGTAGCTAAAACACATGAGAATGCTACTGAATGAAATAATGTAAGGCAGAATCAGGTGTAGCCAGAAATATGCCATACACTTAAAACCATAATTAAAAGAAAAATTGACATTAATGACCTAAACTAGAAATAATCTAAACAAATAAATAATACAGATAATGATTAAATTTTAATAGAAAACAAAAATTTAAATATCTCAAGAAATTAAAAAAGTTAACTATGTTTGGAAAATTAATAAATATTGAATATAGACAAAGGAGACACTACAGCAAATAACTGGATTCTTGAATGGAAAAATAAAAAAATCAGGGAAACAAAGCGAGTTATAAAATTAAAACTAATGGAAAGTTTCCAAAATTAAGTAAAATTGAAATAACTGGCCAATAACAAAATATTCTAGTCTTTACTAAGATAAAGACAAAAAGCAATTTTGAAAAAATAGCAAACAACTTTGTAAGAGAATATATATATATATATATATATATATATATTCTTTATTCCTTTGCATAATAACACCTTATGTCAGAAAATAATGAAATGGCACAATTTAATACAAAAAAATTAAAATACGAACTTAAGATTTATTCCTGGATAAATATTTTTTCAAATGTAAATGGAACAGACTTAATAATAAAAAAAATGTTTAGGTAAATTATTGATGTGAGGCTTTCTTGAGGTCTAATCTACTAGAGAATAGGTTTTAAATACTCAAAATTATTAAACAGACATCAAAATGCGTCGTGATGTGGGCAATAAATATCTAATTACTTATACCATTAAGATTAAATCAAGGTTGAAGGTGAAACTTTTGTTTGGCATAGTTATATGCTCTGATAGCATAAATTTAGAATGTGTATTAAAAAAGTAAAAGAAAGTAGACAACAAATGAGAATAATATATTTAATAATTGTAATTGTTAGATTGCTGTTGTTGAAAAATAGGAAAATGAGGTATTTCAATTGTACTGTTACATCTATCTGTAAAATCAAGGTTCATAGTGTAGAAGAAAAGATACACTGACATGGGGCTGGGGATTTAGCTCAGCGGCAAAAGCGCCTGCCTGGCAAGCACAAGGTCGTGAGTTCGGTTCCCGGTAC